AATCATCTCCGTTCAGAATCGTTTTTCGTATACAATGATACCTATCATTGCATTCAAATTTAATCCCATCCATTACAGTAACCTACTGTACAGCAGAGCGACATCCACGACTTACCCGCTTTTTTTTTTGTTTATGTATTACAGTTTTTATTTGTAGTAAAAAAAAAAAAAAATTAATACGTTAGTTTCCCGTTATATTTGTTTTAGTTCTTACAAAAATTAAAATATCGAAAATACCTTGTCACAGTTTTTTTATACCTAAGCATTTTAATTTTCAATTTTGTCAAATTTTTTCAATATAGGTAACCATGATTTTATAATTATCTATTTTGTGATCAACAATTTTATGCATGTACGAAAAACTTGAAAATATACATAAGATTTCACGTAGGTATTACTAACATAAAACATTAAGTGAAGAGTAAATCTACAATAATATATTATGATTATTTGTAGTTAAAATTATGACAAAAATGTATATTTATACGACTAAACGTAAAATAGAACGATTTTTCCTCAAATATTTTATTTTTATTTTTTTGCAATTATTCAAAAAATATTATTCGTATAGGGATTTACCATTCTTACGCGTTTAGGTATATTATGATTATTTATAAACAAAATTATTTCCAAATTATTAGTGAGACTTATACTATTTTTATACTATATTAATAGAAAAATAGAAAATATATTTCKAAATATAGGTCTCTGAGTTTAGAACCGTTGATGGTATACAATAATTATAATATATTTATATATCAAGTCAAATTAAACATTAATAACATTAATAATCAGGTACACTTGACACCTAAAATACAACAAAGTGAAATATCTGTAGTTGTTTTTTTTTTAATTTGCTTTAATCATTTATCATTATTCATTATATATACAGGTATATCGTACTTATATATTATAATATTAAAGATATAAGTTTCTCTTAAAATTTTAATCTATAGTTTTTAACAAAAACGGTACCTATATAGTATATTAGGATCAATAATGTTTTTGATTTAAATTGTATCCTTAAAAACGATTAGTCTTGAATTTAAAGATATAGGAAAAAACGAACTGACGAAATAAATCATAGTTATGAATGCTACTATATTATAATTCAAGTTTTAAAAAATTATGGTAAATGTTTAACATGATTTATTAATTCAATTCGTAATAAAATATGGGACAAAAAAATTAATGAACCAGTGTACTTTTTTTTTAAATTGAGATCTCATTTTTTTTTTAGTCAATATGTTATGCGTAATATTATTTAATCAGTTATACAACGATTATAGGTATACTTAACAAAAATGTTATGTTTAGCGGCATGCTGGCTTAAAGTCACACAAAAATTATATTATACAGTGATGATGTTTAATTTCGTTGTGTTATTAAATGCACCTAAGTGATATTTATACTCGTATTTTATATGCAATAATTTTATGCTGAGATGCATACTAATTAACAACATTGAATGGATCATTCATATTATGAAATGAACTATGAACAGTTTAATCAAAGATCACTTGATGTTTGAAGATAAGCTCTATCTCTATAAAAGACGTTTGTGAAACATACAGCAACGTTGTGTTATATTAATATCTAAATATTATGCCTGCACGGCTGTGCACCAATACCTATTTATTAACAATAAATTATTTTTTTACAAACTTTTAATTGTATTGCGAGAAAACAATTTCTGATTCATGTATTAATTAACTATGTAGAATTGACTATTGTTTATTTTAAATATATAATTATTAATTTTACGATTACATTTTATAATCATTTTGTATTTATAGTCATGAGCTAAGATTAAAAGCAATGATTACCTGTTGAATTTGATAAGGCTTTAGGAGGGATAAGTACTGTCCGGTACTAAAAAAAGAGAAAATAAATACATTTTAATATAAAAATAAAAATTATAGAAAAATAATATACTTACAGTCGATATAGTTGCTTCAACGAGATTGGCCGGAAATATATTTCTGTAAAATTTCGTCAGTATTATCTTAGAAGCTTATTTTTTATATCCATATATCTAGTTATATTTATAGCATAGGTCGTTTACTTTTAAAAATATCAAATTGGTAGTAAACGGTTGAAAAATCTCAGAAAATAATGTAGTACAGCACCAAGATTAGGTATAATATTATAATGTGAGTATCTATATTCTATACTACTGCATGTAGGTATAGTGTATAAAATGAATAATAGTTTAGGAAATAAAATATAATATATACCTATATACGTGTGTAAAAAGTAACAATGATTGTTTTGCAAAAAATAAATGWTTTATTTATAAAATTTTTCTTTGAAAAATAAGTGAAATGGTTATGATAAATTGAGTTTAAAAAATTTCAAAAGTTGTTTACAACTAACCTTATTAAGTCTAATATAGTGTCGACAGTAGTGATTGGTCTAGTTTCTTGATGTACGCTTGCCGTTTGCTCTGCCTGACTCATAATTTTACCTGGATGTATCAACATCACCCAAAATATGCCTTGCAAAACTGCCATCGACGTGGTCGCTGCATAATAAGCAATTGATTGGAAGCCAATTTTCTTAGACAAAGATAAATCCAACGATCCGATAGCCGATACAATAGACGATACCAGTAACGGGACGATCAACATTTTCAACATACGAAGGAAAATATCGCCAGGGAATTGTACATACGTTATTTCGCGTTTTGTCCATCTATAAAAACATAATTTTATTGATGAGGTTATTTTTCAGTTTTTTGAATTACAAAATAGTTCATGATTTTTATTATAATTGTTTCACAATCACTTATATATTTTACCGGTGTAACAGCTTAATAAAAGTTAAGTCATCGTGGAATACTTTTTATTATAGTAATTATAGATTATAATATATGCCTACGTTCAGCAGACAACTAGTTTAAACCTAAAGGTCAAAACATGTTATTCGGGATGTGGTATGTATAGTAGTTATTGTAGCTATATTATAAAGTGGTACGTGGATGTAGTGAAGATCATTGCAACTCGTTGCGAAAAAAGACGTTTTATAATATATCTGCTTTATATTCGTTCAGAAAACTTAACGATTTTACTGGTATTTTTATTTTACTAATTATGAAATATATACATATATATTTGAGTATTTGACCGACATTCTGGTTTAAAAAAATATATTTTTCAAGCCTAGTCGGTTATGGCACAGTCTGCAATCATACCTATTAGGCTTGATTTCATTGTCTTCGAAATTACCATAACTTATCATTCTATATTTTTTCCGTAGCGTTTAATGAAGTGCAGTGCCTAATCGACAGTACCTATACTCATTAGACAAATTAAAAATTCGGATTTAAAAAAATACCTGTTGGATAGTTATAGATATATTTTGAACATTGAATAACTACACTGAACGAAACTTTGAAGACGTCACGCTGCCTCGCCTTAATAATGATACCAATAGCATTATTAAGTAATCAGTTATCAGAAATTAAAAAGGTGAACAAAGTATTAATACCTATGTTGTTCACTATATAAGTTTTAAATTAATATATTAAACATATACCTATTTGTAATTTTTTACTTATCACATTTGTGACCTATTATAGATTGGAGATAAATCAATGCGAATATACATTTAGATTTGTATCACGGATAAACAATTATTTTAAAATATGCATTCAAATAGCATTTTTTTAAATTAATAATTAATAGTGTAATACTCACTCTGCTTTAGATCCTTTTAAAATAAATCCTAAAATCACTCCACCACCTACGGAAGCTATTGTCAATATAGTAAGCAAATTATGACGAAAACATGATTCTTCAATTTTCTCTTTGCTTTGTCTCCTGGTAGTACTCATTGTGTTGTGTCCTTGATCTGAATGAGAAGGTTTGAGAGGTGATCTATAGAAAAATTTATAATATAATCAATAAAAATAATGCATTGGCACATTAATTTTTAAAAATTTAATATTTTTGTTAATATAGGTTTACCTATATCGTTGTTTGTGAGTAAATACAAATAGATTAATTTTGATTCTAACTAGTACATCTATCCATGACCCTAATAACCTATGAGATGGTAAACCGGTTTTTAAGTTGTAATTCCTATGTACCAATGGTCAATATGTACTTATGAGTTAATGTTGATAAACCACGTTTATAGAATATCACAAAGTAAACAATAATATAAATATATTATTGTTCATGTTTTTTGTAAAAAAAAAAAAATGTAATTGATTATTTAAATTGCTAAGTGTCTAGTTGTAAAATTGTCGGTAATTTCTTATTACAACGTGACTGTTTACAATATCGTAAGAAGGCTTTTACAACAAAAATATTAGAATTATAATATTATATCTATAGGAAGTGTTTTATCTATTACTGCAAATATAATGAGAAATAATGCAGAATATAGTTCATAAAATATAGATAAGTTATATTGATTACAATGTCTTAAGTGTTTATTTTTATGTTAATAAAATCTAGAAGTAAAACGAATAATTACTACAAAGTTTTTAGTTTTTGTCCTTAATAATATTACAATCGGTATTAGGTGAATATAATAGTATTTTTAATAAAAAATTAATATTTWATAAAAAAGAAAAATTAATGTTGAATAAATATTTTTTTATATAGATAAATATAAACGTACAAAATTCTTATTTTATTGCTTAAATCTGAAAAATATTTTTCAAGCAAATATTCATTATTGATTAGATTTTTTCTGAATAAATTACAACAATCATCCAAAAATTCTCAACTTTAGTAGACTACCTAAAGTGGTTTTATATTCCACAACTATTTTCAGTTACCTAATTATAAATTAAGGATTAAGGTAGGTACCATAACTAATAAATAATTGCAATTATTTTACAATATTCACTTCAGTAATATCATGTTCATGTACGAAAGATAATATTATAATCTTATAGTAGGCGGCACAAGTTGAATAGCTATCTAGATAAAGCTTAGGTTATCTGTAAATAATATGTTTCACGGAATCTTTCGTTTCACTAAAACTATGTAATATACCTATTATACGTATGGAAAATGATAATAAGGTCATTGCGTAAATGTAAAACATAATAAATGAACAAATGCTTTGAGCGGTGTGTAATATATTACAAAGGAGTTCATGTATATAATTTAAAAAAATGTTTGACTCTATTCATTAAATACGTAATCCAACAGCAAAATTGTAGGTACCTATACTAGATATTATGATACAATCTGAGAATCCGAAATATAATAAAATTTTAGCACCTATGTTTTATACAGATAACCTGATATCTTAAATTGATTTATTTATATTTATGTACCTATAGGTTACACATAAAATATTAATATTTTTAAACCAATAAGGCATTAAGTACTTAAATTTGTTATTAGGTAGAATTAAAATGAAGGGAAGTTAATGATATTTAGTAAGTATAAGTACTTACATTAATTATTAAAATATTAATAATTATAATATCAACTCTTCACTTACAGATACGATTATAGACAATGAGTAAATAACTAACAATTATAATTAAAAATTAAACAGAATTTATTCCTCTATTTCAAGAAAATCATTACGTATGAGAACGCTTCATAGTAGTGTGTAGCTGATATAGTTAGTAAATTGACGGAAATACAAATATTAATCAGAGAGTCCTAGTTTTAGTTTTATAAATTTTAAATATGACATTTATTTTGATGTCACGTCATATGCAGCTTATAAATAATTTTAAATCCTAAATAATAATGTAAATATTTGCAGTATATTCAGGACTATTACCACGGCGACTATTGTGAAGTACATTTCGATAATTATAAAAATAAAAAAATGTTAAATTTTTGTACCAAAAGCAATATTAATATTGTTATAAAAATCACCGAAATAATCTAAAACATATCATTTAAATTTATCGTAATTCTAACACAATTCTATAATTATTAATCATATTAACATAATATTTAATATTAACCATTAAATACAACATTTAACATTTATATTGTTATAAAAGAAATTACACCTACTTTTGAATAGTAAAAAAAATTAACTTATAATATAGATTCTAGTATTAATGAAAATATGTTTTAGAGGTACTAACTAAAATAAAAACAAGAAGCTGAATAGACACATAGGTATAATCATTACTATTACCTACTTTAAATAATATTTTACAAGTCATAATAATATCATGTATTATTATAAACTAAATTACATCAGTTTAAACTTAGAAATACACGCGCATAATAGCGACTAGATTATTAATTTGTATACTTTAATGTGAATACTAAATATGCGATAAATTAAAGATATTTTATATACTTAAATTTAATATATTGTCCATTAATTAGTGTTTCCATACTTCAGTTTAATATTAATTTAAATAACAAAAAAAACAGAGATGTAATTCTGCTGTATATACTCAACAGTATAGGGTACCTACAGGCTACAAGATTTTGAGAGAACCAAACCATCGTCATTGAGTAGGTCAATATTATGGATGTGAATAGGTACATTGTGAATAAAATTTAATTCAATGATATGCATAATTGTAAATGTAAAAAAATGATTGAAGTGGTGCTGGGCTATCAGCATACATTTCTAGGAATATGTTATTACATACTTATTATAATCCCGACGAATCATGTTTTTTTAATTATAAAACAATATCAAAATCTGGAATTTTTCAGTTTAAGTTTCTAAATCCGTCAAAATTGTAACTTGAAAATAATGTTCATAAAAAAATGTATGTTTTTGATCAACATTTATACAATTTGATAATTTTTATATGTCTAATACTAGCTTCAAATTAGTCTAAATTATGAATATTTTATTATATTATTATTGAATTTCAATAATTAATCATAAAAAATTTGCTTTTTCGTAATTTTTTTTAATTTTCAGTTGAAATGCTTTTAAGACTTGTGAGGAATCACATTTAAAATTCAATTTTTTTATTACAGTATAAATCATAATTTATATCGTCACAATTGTTATGAATTTTGTAAAACTTGTAACCTTAAACGCGTATAAAAACGTATTTACATAGTTTAGAGAGCTAACAAATTTTGATTAATTATAGCATGACAAGAAAATAGTAATCGATTATACCAAAAATTTGTGTTTGTTGCATAAATATTTTCGTTCTTCTTTTTTTTTTTCATTTTTATTTGACCTTTCAAAATAGTATATACCAACTAAATCCGATACTTATGCTACATTGCTACTAGAAACCCCCCTCAAAATTGAATTTCAACATAATTTATAATCTTTATCATAACCTAAAATACAGAGACTTTTCTGCATACATTTTTATAGAATATACTAGAAGATGATGTAATATACATTATTATAAAAATAAATTTCACCTGTTATCAGTAATTATAATCTGGGCCAAGGAAATTAGAAGCTTATAATCGTATCAATCAACAATTTAAATGATACATTTTGATTTGTTATCTGTTAATATTTTGACTTTTTAGTATAGTATGGCCATAATATCCTACTAAGCTACCTGATCGTAACTTAAAATTAATAACATCTTGAATTATTGGTAACATTTACCTTTGACTTGATTTCTAATTTTAATAAAGATGATCATTATTTTTCTATCTATATAAATTATGAAGTGTAAACATGTTTATAAGCTATAATTATTTACTGTACCAATGTATAGTGTAGGTACACGCGATAAAATATGCACAACATTATCTATATCACTATAATATGCTAATGCTATTGTATCATCGTATTTAATTATTTATGAAATATTTTTTATATTTTCGATTATTAATCTAAGTTTAACCTAAGATAAATATAATCTTAATTACTTTTTATCAAGTATTAATTAAATTCGGGTGATTTTGGTAAGTTCGGACAATTTTATACGCACCTATAATTAGCTATTTATAGAAAAGAATTACTACGAACATACCTACTATAATCGTACATATATTTAAAAAAAAATCAAAACACTTTTATAATAGGTTTGTGTTACAATAGCATTATATATTGTGTTTAAATGTTTAGTAGGTATTTACACAATGATAATAATATTGTAGATATGGCTAGGACTACATAATATATTTGTATTTATTTAATTTGGTTAATGCAAATTGTATATTTGTATTGTAATAAATGAAAATTGTTGTAAAAGATAATGACATATTTGATATGACACGAAAACACATAAGCAGTATAATATTGTAATGAATATAGTCAGACATTAACAATTTCATTTAAAATATGAACTAGTTCACATACATATATTTGAAATCATTCATTTGTCTAAGTAATAAACTTATAAGTTAATTGATATTTATCAAACATAAAATTAACAAACTTTTTTCACTTCAATATTACTTCTATTAAATACGGTAGGTTTGTACTATAATTATTTATAAGTTATATATTATGTTGATATTTGATAATAATTTTTCTAATTAATAATCATTATACATTTTTCTATGATAATATGAACTTTTGAAACTTTTAAAATTTGTGAGTTAATTCAGACACCTGAGTATAAAATGTAATTGGTAAATGGTATAGTTATATTATACCTATACTATACTAATTTTATTTTTAAAAGTGTTATATTTCATTAATAAATGTGTTCCTAATACGCAAAGTACGAAACTGGTAACTGCCAAAACCAAATGGCCTATGCAGGGATTATTTTGTTGGGACAAATGACCTAGTTGATTTTTTTAAATAAATAAAACGAGCTAGTTTATAGTAGATAGTGTGTCTTAAAATCACTTGTAGTTTAATTAGTTAAAATTATATTACATGCTATTATTATATGTTGGCATATATTTTATTTTTATTTTTTTTTCTATATCCACTGCTAGATAAACATTCCCAACTCTACCTAAAAAATAAATTGTTGCTTTACAAAACTTTC